CACTAATGGATCTTTACAACTCCCTATTCTGGGCTTCGGGTGAGTGTTTTCTTTCAATCTATTTCACATTTGCTGGCTAACGAATTTCAAATTGTTCATTCATAATGCTGAAATACTTTAAGGCTTGACTATTTTTTTATTCAATAGTACAATATTTGTCTTCAGTCTCTTAGAAACCATTATTTTTTTGTGTTTTATGCTAGGTGTGGATATCATCAAACAAATCCCGGTCCTCATCCCCCACCTTCCATAGCAGGTGTTCTTGGCCTTGGAAATGGCAAAATAAGCATTGTATCCCAGCTTCATTCCCTTGGCCTAATTCGTAATGTTGTAGGCCACTACTTAAGTGGGAGAGGAGGAGGTTTTCTATTCTTTGGAGATCAATTCATTCCCCAATCTGGAGTTGATTGGACACCCATGTTGCAAAGTTCGTCCGTGTAAGTGTTAGACTAGATTTATCTGTGTGCTACTAGTCATGAGAGCTTACACACAGTCTTTTGTTTCAGGCAACAAAACTATAAAACAGGTCCAGCAGACCTGCTTTTCGATGGAAAACCTACTTCTGTGAAAGATCTAGAGCTTATCTTCGATAGTGGGAGCTCCTACACATACTTCAATTCCATAGCTCATAAAGTTCTTGTTGATCTGGTGAGATATGGAACCAAAAAAGCCCTATTGTATATTATGCGAAATTAATAATCACCACCTGCATTCAATTAGTAATCCTTGATCTGTGATTCAGATAACTAATGATATAAAAGGGAAGCCGTTGATTAGAGAAACTGCAGATTCATCTCTCCCAATTTGTTGGAAGGGTCCAAAGGCTTTCAAATCTTTAGATGATGTCACTGGAAATTTTAAGCCACTGGTACTCAGCTTCACAAAACCAAAGAATTCGCTGCTGCAAGTACCACCAGAAGCTTATCTAATTGTCACTGTGAGCACCTTTTAAGACTATTATGACTTACATTTCTTTTCTCCTTATGAAAGGAACAAAAGAAATCATGTGTATAACATGCTACTCTTTTCTAGGAACATGGCAATGTCTGCTTGGGGATTCTAGACGCCACTGAAATAGGACTGGGAAATATCAACATAATTGGAGGTTAGCATATGAAATACCATAAAAATATGAAGTATAAGAAAAATCTTATTTTTCTTTCTCTTTTTAGTTTGATTGTAATACATTCTTAACAGATATATCTTTACAAGATAAGATTGTGATTTATGATAACGAGAAACAGCAGATTGGATGGGCCTCTCCCAATGGCAAGTGTGATGGACCTTCCAAATTATAAATCAGTGTATTGTGATTTTTTCTTTGGCTGAGATTGTCAACAGGACTTTCTCATTACAAATATCAGCAAACAGGTGCACTGCAACTTATGATGTCATAGACTGTGAATGTGTTGTTAGGCAATGAATGTTAGAATGCAAAATTGCTGGGATGGCATATACAATCCCATATATATGGAACAACATAATCTATAAATATTTTCATTTTTAACATGTTACTATTGTTTTTACAGGACCGAACTGTACTCGTGCATCACGTGTGCCTACCTCGCTCCTTCTAATATCTCTTCTTCTCTACAATTGCTATGTTCTCGGTTGGTCAGTCTGAATATTATGTTTGTCTGGCTTGATCTCACAAGTTCTCGACCAGGAAGCTTGCAAAATCATTCGGCACTCAAAATGAGCAATACCTAACATCTATTTATAGTAACTATGTAGGCTTTTGTCTTTCATTATGTGTATTCTCATTTAAGATTATTGTTAACTAGTTGGCAAGTATATCAATTCATTACAAATACTAAATGAAAGTACGCTTGTTTGTCTAATAATGCTCATTTACCAATCTCAACTTTGATAAGATTTATGGTTGCTTCATAATGATCAAAATATATGATAAACAATGTAAATTTTGTTATTTGATTCGATTAAAGCATAATCAGAAATGGATTGCATATGAATTAAATAATACAAAAACTCTATACAATATATCTTAATTTTCTTCAATCATTCATATCTAAAGCATATTAGGACAATTCAATTACCTCCTTTAAATATATTTACTTTTGTTGATAAAAAAAAGTCTAATTAAATATTACTATTAAGAAAATTAGGATCAATTTAATTAAATACATATTTTTATCTTGAAAGAAAATAAACAATATTTTTAAATGAATTCATCCCAAAGCATTTAGTTAAGAAAATTAATCCTCGTTACTCTAGAAACGGTTTTTTTACAATTGTTAAAATTTTAACTATAACTTTTGAACTGTTATTGAAATTGTATTGTTAAATTGTCGTTAAACTTCCAAACACGACGACGTATATGAAAAATAAATAAAAAATTAGATAAAACTTATAAGGATGGTTGCTCTAAACAACCATGTTTTAAGTCCATCTAAATTTAAAAATTAAAAAAAAAAAGTAATGAAATGAGATATGACCACGGTTTAAATAATGTTACAAAGTGGCAAAACAGTTTTGGTAACAACCTTTTTTATGAATGTTATTTTATATATATTATTTATAATTTTGTTTTACCATTGGTAGAAATTTTTACACAAATAGTTATTTCAAACAGTTCAAATGGTATAACAGTTTAAAGGTATTTGTGTAATCTTCCAAAATAAAAAGGGTTAAATATGTTTTTAGTCCCTGAATTATTGGTCGTTTCTGGTTTTCGTCCTTCTTTCAAATAAAGGTACAATTTGGTCCTCATTCTTTTCGAAACGTTCGTTTTAGTCCTTGAAAACTAAACACTGTTTAAAAATTTGGTCCTCATTTAGCAACAAATGAGGACTAAAACCAAAATTCCGAAGACTAAAACGAACGTTTCGAAAAGAATGAGGACCAAATTATACCTTACTTTGAAAGAGGGACGAAAACCACAAACGACCAATAGTTTAGGACTAAAAACATATTTAACCCTAATAAAAATATATGTAAAAATAATAAACTAACTTTCAACTACTCTAAATTTTATATCTAAAAAGAAAATTTATATTTTTTAATCATAAGCTAATGCTTTTGAATTTAATGATTATTCATTATTAAAAATTTTAAAGAAAAAATAAAAATAAAATTAATACATATAAAAATAAATTATTATGTATATTTAATATTGGAATATATCATATTATCTCATACAATCATATTGTTTTTACAAATTTGTCATTCCTTTCCAAGACGGTTATTTGATAATCGTCATTATTTAAAGTGAAGGAAAATGATAAACATGTGTTTTTTAATCTTCGTACACCTATTCAATACCTAATCAAATATTAATATTTTAATTTTTCTACTTGATTCATAATGTATTTTACATTTTGAAATTAAATATTCTTTTACTAATGTAGAATAGTTGTGAAGTAAAAAAAAATATGTTGTTCGTATATTATCATTCAAGAATCAATTAGCAGACTTCGGTTTGCAGTACTTTCTTTTCTTTATTGATTTATTTTGATCAATAGTTTTCCATTTTTTATCTTTGTTATTTTCTCTAGCAATTAAATATTATTTTTTGTTTATTTTTCTAAAATCACGTTAAATATTTTAAATAATTTTTAATTTCTCGTTAATTTTAATATTTTTAATTAATTTTTATTAAATTTTTTGTTTATTAAATATTTTTAAAAAATATGTTATTTAATTAAATACTTGTTTAATTTCTTCTTTAACTTGAGTGATAATTGTTGCCTTATCTCTCGTTATCTTAGTTTAAGAAAAAATAAATTTTGTAGTCAATAAAAAAATAACATTATAGTTAATCTAAAATTTAAAATGATAAATAATTTTTATTATTTTCTTAAAACTGTATGGGATAAAGAAATTTTTAATAACTTTATATCATCAACCACCGTGATCAAGGAAACATTCTCATACAATCATTAGCAATCTTCTTATTATCCAACACGATTTTAATAAAAATAATAAAAGTTATTGTTATTTTTCATTAACATAATATCATTTTTATTTTATATTAACCTCTTGACATCTGTTTAACAAGTTGATACAAACATGTAAAACAACATAATAAAATAACAGTTATCACCTAGTTAAGAAAATAATTAAACTTTACAAGTTCAATTAAAAAATATAACAATTTTAAACATTTAAATATCAAATAGAATTTAATATAAAGCGATAATGTATTTAATGTAAAATAAAAAATTACTTTTCATTTTTAAAAAAAATGTTAAATAACGTTTTCTCATAATTTTTATATCATCACTTACTATTAAAATATGATCGTCATTACCATCATTAATTTAGGTTATGATAATAGTCATTTGCTTTTTAGTAAAACGACTGCATGATTTATTCCATATGAATGTATAAAATGGGTTTTAGTAAAATTACTCCATGATTTATTGTAGATGCATGTATAACAAAGCATTATTTGATTATAATTTATCATTTAAAATACTTATTCTTTCTAAATTAAAACATAATAATAGAAATAGAACCCAAAGATATAATGCTAAAAGTGATGAAAATTGCTAGGTGTTTTCACGGAAGGACACAAGTAATTTTACATAACATTGTTATTTGAATTAAATATGCAATAAAATTTTCATTTTAAATATTTAACGTGTCTATATATTTATGATTTACACTTTTGATCGGTTATATATTTATGATTTATCTAACTTTAATTATGTCAGTTTATTTACTTGTTAATGATGAAAATCGTTAAATTTTCTTATAATAATATTAATACTATATTTTAACATATTTTCTATTATCGAGTATGCCAACTTTTTTATTTAATAAACTTTTCACAACCTTTACCTAATCACAAAAACTTTTTAAAAAATATTTAAGCAAATATATTGCTAATCAGAAGTTGGTTTTAATTTTTTATATAATTACTCGAAATTTTTATAAGGCTCAATAGTTATTTTATTTCAAACATAGACAAAAATTTTATAAAAACGTTAAAAGTCATAGTAATGACGTAAACGAGAGATTCCATTGTGCGTGTTTTCTCTCCCTCTTAGTCTCTCTCTGCACATGAGCCCGCAGACGCGGTTTAGTACTAACATTAGAGGAGAGTTATTTCTCTCTCTCTCTCCTTCTATTTCATCTTCATCTTACTCATCAAATTCTCAATTCTGATTTCGAGTTTACAGTCCTTTGAACATGGATGTGAAAAGCAGGGGAATTTTACTCTTTTTGCTTCTTTCTTCCATTTTCTCAACCTCTTTCTCAGACACCGATCAGATTCTCAACTCCAAGAAGCCAACACCCTCAACCTCTGTTCATTCCCTTGCTTCCTCTTTCGCTTTTCAGATTAAAGGAAATGTTTATCCAATTGGGTATGTTCTGTTATCTTACTCTACAGTAATTACATTTTGCATCCTCTGACTTGTTCAACAAACTTCTTCTAAAAGTCATATACCAACTCTCTCATTCTTTCTTATTCTCCAATATTTTCAAGGTTTTCTTTTCTGGCTTTCGATTTTTTTGGATAGTTTTCAACTTGTAGTTGTTTCGTCGCTTTTTTTCATGTATACTAATTCTTACCCTTTATTATATCTTTGAATGCTCCGCCCAACCAATTGACTCTGACTAATCCTTGTAATTTCTTAGGAAGTTTTAGAACCATCTGTGTTTATATCGAATGAATCCGATTTTCATCGAGTGATCCTACACAGAGGAGTGGTTTGACAGACCCCTTTGTGTAATTTTTTTCTTCTGAAAATTGTTTTTAGCAATGGCAAAAAGTAAAGACAAGATGATTCTTGGTTTTGTAAAAGTGAATGAATGAAGTCTTTGTATGCAGGTATTACACGGTGAGCCTTGCCATTGGCAATCCCCCTAAGCTTTATGATCTAGACATTGACACAGGAAGTGAGCTCACTTGGCTTCAGTGTGATGCACCATGTAAAGGGTGCACTATAGTAAGTTTCACTTGAGTGGAGAACGTTCTCAAGTACTTTTATACTAATTATTAACCAGACATATTGAAATGAAGGATGCTATTCATTTCCTTAATTGCTGATTTTTCAGCCTCTGAATCGACTTTACAAACCTCGCGGCAACGTTGTGAAATGTGTGGATCCCTTGTGTGCTGGAATCCAATCAGCACTTCCCTGTGCTGTAGCAAATGAGCAATGTGACTATGAGGTTGATTATGCAGACCATGGATCATCTCTGGGTGTGTTAGTCCGAGATTATATTCCAGTTAAATTTACAAATGGATCTTTAGCACGCCCTATTCTGGGCTTCGGGTGAGTGTTTTCTTTCAATCAATTTCGCAGTTGCTGGCTAACTAATTTGAAATTGTTCATTCATAATGCTGAGATATTTGTAAGCCTTGAGAATTGTTTTATTCAATAGGTGTGGATATGATCAAACGCATCCTGGTCATAATCCCCCACCTTCCACAGCAGGTGTTCTTGGCCTTGGATATGGCAAAACAAGCATTGTATCCCAGCTTCATTCTCTTGGCCTAATTCGTAATGTTGTAGGCCACTGCTTAAGTGGAAGAGGAGGAGGATTTTTATTCTTTGGAGATCAATTCATTCCCCAATCTGGAGTTATTTGGACACCCATATTGCAAAGTTCCTCATTGTAAGTGTTAAACTACATTTATCTGTTTTCTTGTGAGATCCTACTAGTCATGAGAACTTACACACCGTCTTTTTGTTTCAGACAACACTATAAAACAGGTCCAGCAGACCTGCTTTTCGATGGAAAACCTACTTCTGTGAAAGGTCTAGAACTTATCTTCGATAGTGGGAGCTCCTACACATACTTCAATTCCAGAGCTCATAAAGCTCTTGTTGATCTGGTGAGATATGGAACCAAAAGAGCCTTAATGTATTGCCGGGCTTATCATGCTAAATTAATAATCATCACCTGTTATTCAATTAGTAATCCTTAATCTGTGATTCAGATAACTAATGATATAAAGGGGAAGCCGTTGACTAGAGCAACTGCTGATTCATCTCTCCCAATTTGTTGGAAGGGTCCAAAGGCTTTCAAATCTTTACATGATGTCACTGGAAATTTTAAGACACTGGTACTCAGCTTCACAAAAGCAAAGAATTCGCTGCTGCAAGTACCACCAGATGCTTATCTAATTGTCACTGTGAGCACCTTTTAAGACTATTATGACTTACATTTCTCTTTCTCCTTAATGAAAGCAACAAAAGAAATCATGTGGCTAACATGCCTACTCTTTTCTAGAAACATGGCAATGTCTGCTTGGGGATTCTAGACGGCACTGAAATAGGACTGGGAAAGATCAACATAATTGGAGGTTAGCATATGAAACACCATAAAAAAATGAAGTATAAGAAAAATCTTGTTTTTCTTTCTCTTTTTAGTTTGATTGTAATACCTTTTCTCTTGCTCTTAACAGATATATCTTTACAAGATAAGATTGTGATTTATGATAACGAGAAACAGCAGATTGGATGGGCCTCTGCCAAGTGTGATGGACCTTCCAAGTCATAAATCTGTCTCTTGTGATTTTTTCTTTAGCTGAGACTGTCAACAGGACTTTCTCATTACGAAATATTAGCAAACAGGTGCCCTGCAAATTATGATGTCATAGATTGTGAATGAGTTGTTAGGCAAGGAATGTTAGAATACAAAATGGTTGGGATAGGATATACAATCCCATACGTATGGCACAACATAATCTATACATATTTTCATTTTTTTAACATGTTACTATATTGTTCTTGTCCAAACTAGAATTCTGTTTGCTGTAAGATACAATACGCATTTACAAAATGTATGCATCCAAAAGTATGTATAAGAAATACAGTGGCCGAATCTAACATAAACTGTAAACAATGAGTCGAAAAACAAAATTAAACAAATCAAAATGGAAAATATAATAATCTGATTGAATGGAATTTTCAATCTGATATACTACGCTCTGAGTTAAACCTTATCTGGGAAATAAACCTGTCTCATATAATATGTTTATAAAATTTGAATACGAATTTGTTATTTTTAGTAAATTAGGTTTAAAAAAATGTAGTCATTACATCGATTTTATTGTACTTGAAATCTTAAAATTGTCATTTTCTCACTCAAATTTTTAAAATTGACAAATAAATTGTTTTAAACATTATCCTCAAGTTTATTTCTATATATGCCTTATAAACTATAATTTCATTATACGAGAGAAAAAGAAATAAGAATAAGGTGAAAATAAAAATAAAAACTACTTAATATTGTGGTTTTTCTTTCGGTCGCGGTGGTTGGCTTTGGTTATAAATAGTTGAAACCTGCTATGTGTAATTACTAACTAATGATTGATTACCAATTAATGGTAATAACCTTTAAAAAGTAGTCTCTTATTTGAAATTTGCAAAGTTGAAAACGAAAGAGAATTTATAAATTTGTTAATATACAGTGACATTTGAACTTCATTCCCGTTTTCATATTTACTTCACAAGGTAGATTTTTTTTTCTTTTCTAAAAGGTGGGTAGAAAGTCAACGTGTTTACCTCCTAATTTAAACAAAATATACACATATTAATGTCATTATATCATAAAGATGTTTTTTAAAGTAAATTTTATCCACGGGAATATGCGTATAATGTAACACGTAATAGTTAACGCATATGTGGTTCGTTCTTTAAACCATTATCAAAATAGTTGTATGAAAATTTTGGTATCACGTTTTCTAGACAGAGTTCTATAAATATCACATATGATCTGTCTTTTTGGGTTATAAAAAATGTTCTCTTCTACATCAATATGCTCTACACTCTTAAAGTTTTGGAGTGTGAGAATTTCAAACCTTATAAGCACAATGAAAAGAAGTGTTGCGACATGGAAGGTTTTTCTTGTTTCCTATTTCAAGTTTACCTTTATCTTATTTTGAATCAGTTCATATATTTTTGAGATTTTGTATTTTTAATTCAAAATAAATTATAAATATTTTCCTTCTTCATATAACTCTTTGATGAATTATCCTTTTATGGAAAATAAATTTTTTTATAGTTTTTATGAGAAAACTAGATTTGCGTGTTCGTTGAGATTGAAGAAATTAGACATAAACCATGATTTTTATTCCTATAATTACTAGATAGGAACGAACAAAATTAATCAAAATTATACTGTAAGATAAATATACTATATTATACTTGAAAGTATTGAACCGAACCATTTTATAATTTAATTTTAAAAAATTGAATCTTTAAAGTTGTGGTTGTTCATTAACATAAAACCACTTCGTTGATAAAAATACATAATAGCACATAAGTACATAGGTTAAAGGTTGATAATGGTCAATCTGAGTCAAAGGTCATAACAAGTCGACCCTGAATGAAGGTTTAGATAAACCAAGCTGGACCACAATCGAAATTTGGTTTAATTTGACCGCGATCAAAATTTGGTCAAATTTAGTTGAAATTGACCAAGTTGACCTAAGCTAAAATCTGTCTGAATTCGATGCCAAAATTTGTCTGAATTCGACTAAGTTGACTACAACTAGAATTTGTTAAAATTTGGATGAGTCACCCTTAGCCGAATTCAACTGAATTTACCACAATCGAAATTTAGTCAAATTAGACTAAATAAGTCAACCAAGACTGAAGAATTTGACTGAATCGGCCTAACAAAAATTCATCTAAATTTAATCCGACCACTCCCTACGAAAATTCGGCCGAATTTTCTCTTTTTTTCAAGGTCTTTTAGAACTAAGTGTAGATAGTTTGATAGAATAAAAATTAATTCAGTTAAGTTAAGACAAACTACTTTTTAATTTACAATAATTTTTAACAATTTAGTTTAATGCAATTTATTTTCTTCATCCCTGTTACTAGGGCATTTGATTAAAAATATGAGACAGAGCACGGGTTCTTGTGAGCCGCTTTGATGAGCCTTACCAATAAATGGTAGGAAAAATTGTTGCATCAGTGTTTTAACCGCAGCATTAAGCTCTCATAAATGCGTTGCATGAACCTGCATTAAAAAAAAACGTATGTTTTATATACAAGTAAATATCTTAATATGAATCAATTATAACATGACAGTTAAGAAGTGAGTATTGTTTGAATTAGGTGTGGGTTCAATTCCTTAGAATGAGTTTTTGTGATATTTAAGATGACTAAATTTTGAAATACTAAGGTTTGAATCCCTTCAATTGATCTAAAATATTCTCCATACAGCTTCTTCTGATCTTGTGTCCATATTAGTGTCATTTGTTACATCTCGTGACAATATTTTGGTTTGACAATTTTGCATGGCTAACATGTTTATCAACTTCACTTCTTTTTAATTTCTTTGGCCTTCCTACACGTGTTCTATATATGGGGAGAGTGTTTCTAGAGAATTTGTTTTGGGTCAAAGTCGTTGCCCATTAATTGAGCTAATTTGTGGTCCATAACAAGTCTCACATACCTCTCTCTTGTAAAATGTGTGAACATAATCCACTTGTTGTTCTAACCTATAATGAATTTCATCAATAGAATGTCTATAAGATATACTCACCGAGTCCCAAAAATAACATTGCAACTATGGTCATTTAGATTAACAAAAAAAATTTGCATGCTAACCCCTAAGTTACTTCAAACTAAGCATCCCTAATCCATACAACTATCTAATTCCTAGCTAATAAAATTGAACTATTAAATGATTCACACAAATTATTCATTTGCACATCACACCTTAGATAACATCTAAATGCGTGTTTGCACCATGATTTCCAAGGAATTGCAAATTAACCAACTATAAGTTCAAAATTTATTTTCTTCAACTCATCCATTTTTGTTTCCCATCCCTAGAAGTATGTTGCCTTTGTAGTGACCACCATAAGGTTTCTTGTGACTGTTCCTCCACCAAATTTTTTCTTATAATTATTAGATAGGTGTATGAGACAGAACCTATGTTTTACCCCTCCAAAATTTCATCAAACATTGTCAAAAGTCCCTACATACAATATAAAAGGAGTTAGTATGTGATAGTATACATGTAATATGAATTTTTTAATGTAAGTGGTCTTTAGGTGACAACCATCAACATCAATGTAGTATGCAACCAGTCAAGAACCCTTTCTCACAACCTTTTAGACACATGTAAAAACTACCAAACCTTGGTTGTAGAGTAGGTTGAGGTTGATTCACCTTAATCTTAAGTATTTCAGCTCTCACTCTTGTTAATCCAAATAATCATAAAGAAGACTATATTTTCATTGTTCGTGCCCCATCATACATTCCATGGTTATTTGCTTTGCTTTAGAAGTCCTCCAAGGTGTAATCTCTATGTTATGTCTTCTTCACCTCAGTAATGATTTCGTTCATTGTCATCTTTTCCATATCTACTAACTTGTCCATTAAAACTTGTGCCACCCAATCTTTATTAGCCTTTTTTTTTTCCAAACACCTTCTCACATATATAACTATCAACCAGTTTCTTAACTCGAAATGTGAGTGTCTCCAACTTTGTTGTCTAAAATGACACACCAACATTTGTTTTTACGAACAACCCTCACTCTTACGCAATCATTCTCAACAAATTACACTTCTTTACTGTTTAAAATAGAATGCTTCATAAGTGTCTGCATAAATTCCTTCAAAGAACAAAATTTCATCCCCAATCTAAACTTGAAGTTCTTGTTCATATCTTAAGGTTTAAACTTTGGAAATTTATGCCCACAATGACTATCACCCTTATCACTGTCCACATCAATAGGCAGTTCATCATTGTTGTACTCTTCACCTATATATATATATAAAGATTTTCAAATTATTATTACATTTTAATTAAATTTTAAAATTCTATAATTTCAAACATTCTATTTATTCTCGTAAAATTACAAAATTTCAATCTTATTTCTTATCTAATCAACATACTTTATAAAAAAAGTATTTTAAATTTTTTTATAAAAATTACTTGTTTTCATTCGCAATTTATTTGACGAATTGTAAGAAAATGGCAATTCTAAGATTTTAAATTAGTGGAACCTAATTTCCTAAAAACTTACAAAGTAGTGTTGTTTCTTAAATATATATTAATATATAAAAATACTTTACACTTTAATTTCACAAATAAATTTATGTATGACAAGTTTTAGTTATACATTGGATTGTATTAGAATTTAAAAATTCAATTCATTCAACTTAATAGTATTTTATATTCATTTGTTTAATAATTTTTTTCCGACCATTTTTTACAATATATATTAGAGTTTACCATTTATGAATATCCTTAGACATTATTTTGTTTGTATTCATTTCACCAGTATCAACAACAAAAAATCACATTGGACTGATTTATGACTTGGAAAGTCTATCAAAATATGCAGATAGTCATCCAATCTGATGTTTCTCATTGTCACAATATCTTACCTTATAAAGAGATTTATTTCTGTCAAGAGCAAAAGAAAATGCATTACAATCAAACTAAAGTCAGAAATAAAAGACAAGATTTCCTTATATTTAATATTTTATTTGAATTCAATATTTCTCACCTCCAATCCTATCCTATTTCAAAGCCGTCTGGAATCCTGAAGCAGACATTACCATGTTTCTGGAAAAGGACAGCATGTCAAATAGTAGACACAGATTCTTCTATCCCTTTCTTTAAAGAGAAGGAGAGATGGAGAGGGATATAGATCATAGACTCTTATCATACATATATGGGTGGGCAAATCAAAACTGAAGTGTATTGCTAACTCCATTGAACTAAGAATTAATTTGTCCGAACTAAACTAAAAAAATAGTTCACTAATTTTGAATTGAAGTGTTAATTGTACTAATTTTAAATTAAACTTGGACCAAATTCTTTCTAATTATAATTATTATAGCAATATGAAAAAAATTATCTTTTAATCGAATTATTTGTTACTGTCACGATGATAAAAACTATGGCATAATAATAAAGATTTTAGCCTAACTAAATTTAATAAATTTCTCGTTACTACGTTGCATTTCCAAACATATATTTTAAGTTGAAAGTTTCTTACATAGTTAAAGACTTACAGTTTAGAAATTAAAAAGTGAAAAAATTAATAGATAAAAGATATATAATAATAATAATAATAATAATAATAATAATAGTAATAATAAATGATAATATTTTTATTTGTGATTGTTAACATTGTGGTCTTTTGAAGCCTTGGGATTTATAATGATTGATGAAAGTTTGTTGTGATATTCTATAATTTGACATCCACCATTTTGTCTTGCCTTGTGGATTTTCACTCATTCTATTTTATACTAATTACTTAATCAGTATCAATGCAATACATTTGTCATTAATCTTGTATCTTACAAAATCATAATAGACCAGATCAATGCTTGAATAGAATGAAAACCCAAAGAGTTGTTGCAGCATGGAGTTATAGGATTCAAGATGAACTCATAACATTTGTCATTGTTCTTGTATCTTACAAAATCATAATAGACCAGATCAATGCTTGAATAGAATGAAAACCCAAAGAGTTGTTGCAGCATGGAGTTATAGGATTCAAGATGAACTCATAACAAAAGTTGTAACAGTAATCACCATACACTGGAAACCATAAATGAACAAAGATTCAAGTTTTACTTTCAATCATATTGATGATAAAAATCTTAGAAAGAAGTTAAAATTCTTCTCCATCAATGAATTCTAGAAGTTTAGCCTTTATCATTTCACACTATGCAAATCTGCAAGTTCATTTCCATTTACTTCTAACAAGAGAAGACACATTTGTAAAACAGAAACAACTCCAGTATGGAATAAGGAAATAAATAAGAAACCAATGTGGAATGCAGATAACAGGAGTAGTCACAGTTCACAGTGAGAATATCCTTAGCAGAGCATCATGTGCCATGTCAATGTTTTTTTTATGCAATTTAGAAAAGGGTCTATTAACAACAAACTTCACCTTTTCTTCTTATCAAGTTCATTTGAGAAGCTAAACTTGGCGCACAAACCTTTGCTGTTTTAAACAAGACAGTAATGATTTCCAAAGTGAGCAGGTTGCATATTACCAATCCTCTTCTAATGGCACACACATCTGACCGACATTTACTATTCTTAGTTGACGATGTCTCAATACAAGGAGATAAAGGATCAATTCCAAAAGTATCTAGTGTGAGAGTTTTGATGAATCAAAATCTCTTAGAAAGAAAAATATAAGTAGAATGAGAAGAAGAAAAGTACCTTGGTGGCATGAACAACCTTGAATCAAACACAGGGAACTGAGGCCTCAGTAATGGTTCTGATATCTCACTATCTCTCCTTTCACTTTAAGGCCACCAAACACCTCATCTGGTTTCTTCTTCATTTTGACCCACCATTTGTTTGAAGCGTGGTTCAGATTTATTTAACTCAGCAATATCCTGTGTTGGATTTGAAAGATTATACTAGCCACCTGTTTTGTCACTGTATACTGTCATAATCTTTGCAACAATATACTACTTAATCCTTAAATTTAAAATAATATCTGAATGACTAATTGAAGAAAGCAATGACGCTTTGTCAACTAATATAAGTGAAAACTGAAATCTCCATTATATTAAGTTATCTAGCTTAGGTATTTTGAGACTTACTAGAAGAATTAGGGCGTGATAGTAATGGTTTCAATCCGATTTATGGTCCAAAACTCCAAATCTTTTAGAAATCTCTCCAAACTCAAACTGTTCTTCGATCATGCCCACGGGTAATGACTCATTGCATAATCAACTAAATGATCAAATAAATTCCTACTTTAGTACAGCTATAGAAAAATTATAGTTCTCTTCTTTAGTACAGTTCATAATAGAGATACCAAACTAAGCCACATAATTAAGGGATTTCAACAAGTTCCTCTAGGATCAACAAATGTTGGAATAATGTCAAAAGTTTCTAATAAAATAATAAATAACCCCTTGACCAGTAGGTACTAAAACACCATTACATATAGATTTTATGCTACAGAATAAAAAAGTAAAAGCATTGCAATTCAAAATCTCCCAACAAAAAATTCCCGACATCAACTATGATTCATACTGAAATGGTGAGACAGGGGATCAATAAGTTTATACAAAATTAATGTTGATGAGAATATAAACAGTACAAAATAAATAACTTCCTCGGGGTGAATTGAATTTAAAATTGAAGTATTGAACAAAAGATTGAAATGAAGACCCACTTGAAACAAAGACCAAGAGATTGCTCCCCATCCTCAAATTTCAGACAGGACAACAAGGCCACCAGTTTTTTCAACTCCAACCTATAGATTCAAATTTCAAAACAATAACGTCTATCAAACAGAAGAAGATGAAAATAAGCACACTTCATAATCCCTCACAAAAAACATAAATTCCTTCGACCTCATTTGTAATGAAATTTATTATCACCAATGACCCCATTTGAAAGCAATTTGAAAGCAGGATAACGAAGAACATAAATTCATTTACCGAACCAGGTCCTTCAGTGCAGGGACCACCAACCAAAGCAATGATCCTAGCCCCAATCCTGGGATTACAAGCACCAAGCAACCCCGTTGTTACACTCAACACAATGCGGTACACCGTGCAGGGCGCTTCCCAATCAAAACTGGCCACTGGTCAGTTTGCAAGCAGAAGGGGGTTGAGCCTGCGTGGGGTTTTCATTGGAGCTATCCTTTGGGACAAACTGGAAATGAGAAATCTCGGGAAAAGGACGGAAGAAACTTAGAAATATAAAGATACAGTTCTCACCAGCCCAGCCCTACATACATACATAGCGTTGAAAGGTGCTCGCAGTGACAATTATATAAGCTTCTGTCGTGTACTTGCAGCAACGAATTCTTTGAATTTGTGAAGCTGAGTACCGGTGGTTTAAATTGCCAGTGACATCATGTCAGATTTGAAAGGCTTTAGACCCTCCAACAAATTGGGAGATGGATCCACAGTTGCCCAGTCAATGGTTTCCCCTTTGTATCGTTAGTTATCTGAATCACCGATCAAGTGTGGCTAATAACCCAAATTCTGGTTCAGAAGAACTTCGTAAGTCAACATTGCTCAGCAAGTACAATAAGAGGCAGTTATCTAGCAACAACTGGAAAAAATATACCAGTTAACCTACCTAAGCAATAACATACTAAATTTCTTGCAGTACAAGGTTAACAGACTCCTTTTGAACAACAGTTATGCTGATCATCAAATGTGCGACCCACATGACAGAGTACCGTTCTTTTGTTGCCTGATTTCACTCTAACATAGGTCCCTCCAAAATAATCACCACACACAATCAAGACATAAGCCTTGCCAATCTGATCCTCGACCGAAGCTTCCTCGCTTCATTGGTAAACCCAATATCGTGGAGGCCATCAAGAACCGCCCGCTGAGTGGTCCTCAACACCTGGTATCCACCTTTCAAACACGAAATCAGCACCTTCGAGGCCCAAAGGAACCTCCTGGCCCTGCAAAGATTGTGCACCAATATAGTATAAGTAAACGAATCCTTCACCTCCATCCCCTCAAACAACTTCACAGCATCATCAATATGCCCAGCCTTCCCCAAGCCATCAAGCATACAATTAAACGCAACCAAATTATATCCAAACCCTAATGTACTCATATAATTCAAGTGCCTCCGAGCACCATCTAACTTACCAGCCTTACACAATCCATCAACAATAATAGTATGCGTGTACTGATCACACTCCAACCCCTCCTCCTCAATCTCATCCAACAACTTTAATGCATCCTCCAACCTCCCCTGCCTGCAATAAAGGTTAATCAAAGTGTTATATGACACGAGATCTGGCCGGATGCCGGTACTCACCATGATATCAATTATCTCCTCCGCCTCGCGCGTCCGGCCAGTCTTGATCATCGCCGCAATCACCGTGCAGTATGCGAATCCGTCAAACGTGAACCCTAAATTTCTCATTTCCGACAAAATCTCTAACCCTTGCTCGAAAAAACCGCACCGGAAGCTGCACTGCATGAAGGTGGTGTAGGTAATAGCGTTCGGTTCGTAACCGGATTCCCCAAACTCCTTGAGCACCATCTGCGCGTCCTTCAACCGCTTGGCCTTGCAGAGTCCGTTGATAAGCGCGTTGTACGTCAAAACCTGAGGGACGAAACCGTGCCTCTGTAAGTTCCTGAATAGGCTCAATGCGTGGGAGACGTAACCGTTCTTGCAGAGACCGTTGATCATGACGTTGTAAGTGGTGGCGTGAACCTCGCCGCGGAGAACGGTTTCTTTGAAAATGCGATTGGCCTCGTAGGGCTTTCCGAGCTTGAACAGACTGTGCATTTTGATGTTGTGGCTCCACGCGTCGGGGGTTACGCCACGCGCCAGCATTTCCTCGAACAGGTCGAGGGACTTGAAGAGCATAAACTTTCTGACGGCGCCGGAGATTAACGAATTGTACGAAACGACGTCGGGGGCAATCCCTGCTTCGCGCATTCGCGCAAGGACGGAGTACGCGACATCGATTGAGGCGAAACGACAGTAGGCATCAATTAGGATGTTGTATGTGACCGCGTCAGGGAGCACACCGATTCTTATGCCGTCGTTTATTACGGATTCGGCTTTGGATATTTGCTTCGCTTTGCACAACGATGATATGCTTATGTTGAGGAGCTTGGTTGATAGTTTCGACCGCAACGACATCGTTTTGGTATCTCCTGACCGGAAGTGAGAGTGGTTTCTTTTGAGAAGACGAGAGAGAGATTGGGAGTGACAAGTGCGGGTGTGTTGGCTAGAAACACCGGGAAGCATGACTCAGAATGGAGAAGTACAAAGCCGAAAGAAGAAGAAGATGATGATGCAGAGGGAAATTGGGGGGAATTTTGGTCGCCTGAATTGGGCCTGATAAAGGAACTTTCAAATTGCCAAATCCGCCCCCTAAATTACTATGCGTGTACTTTCTTTCTTTGCTAGATTATATTTTTAGGTTCTTTAAAAACAGTGATTATTTTTAATTTTGGAACAAGATCTTGAATTTCTTTTATTAATTCGGTGTCTCAATAAACATTAGTTTGTGTGCTTCATACTAAAAAGACCGAAGAGTCTTACTAAACAGTATTGTTTAATATATCTATTAAGCTAGATAAAAACAATAGCATCTTTAAAAACTACAAAACTAAATAAAAATTAGATATCTAATTGAATTTTAGATAAAAAATAAAAAAACTTTATTTTAGCTTAAATCATCGAGATTGTGAATTGTTTAAAATGTACATTATTAATTTATTATTTCTCAAAGGTTGTTTTAATTTTTTATATTACTTCAATAGAATACCAATATAATATTTTAAAATTAAAAGTAAGAAAAGAAAAAAATACCTAATCCCCTGGTATGAATGAATATGTATTTGGCGCCATAAAGCAGCACTCAGTATTGTTACTTGGGAGGCAGAGTGTAGGAGGGGTGACCTATCAATGACGACCCATCTCATGGAAATCGACAGCGATAGCGATGACCAGACAAACTCCGCCGGGGAAAATGACATACTTGCCGCAGACCTTACTGACCTCGGCAAGGCCATTCCGTGGGTTGAAAAATACCGCCCTCAGTCTCTCGACGACGTCGCCGCTCACCGTGACATTGTTGATACCAGTAAGACATCTCTCTCTCTCTCTACCTTTTTTTATCTCTAGGGTTTATGATTCAAGCTGTTCGTCAGAAGCTCAATATTGGAGTTTTCACTGTTGCAGTTTAGGTTAATTTTCTTATTTTGATTTGAGTTTTTTCCCTACTTGTCCTCGTGTTAGGGTTTTAGGAATATGGAAGTGGGGGAATTGTAGTAGTTGGATTGTACAACTTGGTTAGCGAGGGAACGACATCTATTGTTTTTATCTTTTTTATTTTGGTTTAGTGAAAATTAGGAAATTAAAAGAAACATGTAATTGTACATCTTATAATATATTTTCTTGGATCAATTGCTCATTGTTCTTTGTTTGATAATTTGCTGTGTAGTTGATAGGCTGACTACAGAGAACAGATTGCCGCATCTTTTATTGTATGGCCCTCCTGGAACGGGTAAAACATCGACCATTCTCGCTGTGGCACGCAAACTATATGGTCCACGCTTCCAAAATATGATTTTGGAGCTCAATGCATCAGATGACAGAGGAATTGAGGTCGTGAGACAGCAGATTCAAGATTTTGCTAGCACTCAGAGCTTATCATTTGGGTTGTCTTCTCTGTCCTTTATCTCGTACATGTACACTTATTATATACATTTGTTTGGTGTGTTATGACTACAAAAATTGTTTTCTGTAGTTTTTGCTGTTGGTTTGTCTGATTTCATGTTGGGAGTCGAATTGATATTCTTTTGCTTTTCGAGTTGATATTCTTTTTTATTTTGCAGCTTTAGTTAGAAATATAGTTCACTGTAGTTTAACCTCGGGTTAGAAAGCTTCAGAATTTATGGTTTGATTATGCTCCCCGTGTTTCCTGTTCCTTGTTACTCATTTTCAGGGTTCTGCATTGCGTACTTCTACTTCCTATACTAGTCTATTGGTCAATTCAGAGGTTCTGGTGTTCTCCTTTGTTTTAGTTGGTTGTCCGGTCCTATATCTCCTGAATATTTATTTCTCTAAAATTCGTAGTTTAGGTGCTAAAATTGCTCGCGTTCTTCTCATTATTATTTTCTATTCTGCAAGGTGCTGCTAAAATCCTTCACTTAGTGGGGGATAACTAGGGTTGTTATATTGCATAAAATTTATATTCCCGATGCATATATTACCACATAAAACATTATAGGCAATTCAAGGACATTTATATAATTCTTTTTTGTTCATTTTAATTTTCAGTTGTAATGGTTCTGATGTTCAAAGACCTTTGCTACTGTGTTTTATTTTCTTTCCTTTATTTCTTTTGCTTGCATATGCTGATGTGACATTTGATTTGGAAGCTAGAATGATGGACAAAAAAGTGTAACCAGAGTTGAACATTTTTTTTTTGCTTATTGTTCTGGAATTGTATCGAAGCTGCAAGTCTGCCTTAACTTACTATTTAAAACTCTCTGTTCAGTGTTAAGTCCTCTGTAAAGCTCGTGTTGTTGGATGAAGCAGATGCCATGACAAAGGATGCCCAATTTGCATTACGTAGAGGTGTGTGCTAATTTTTATACTCTATTGCAGCATCAAGTGGTTTCATGAGTTATAGTGTCCTTATCTCCTTTTCATGCAGTGATTGAGAAATATACAAAAAGCACCAGGTTTGCTCTTATCTGTAATCATGTAAACAAGATTATTCCTGCACTTCAATCTAGATGCACTCGATTTCGATTTGCCCCTCTTGACGCCGTCCATGTCACTGAAAGACTGAAACACGTTATTAAGGCTGAAGGGTATGCTTCCTGTTCTATATTATCTAGTCTGCCTGTAGTAGCTGGAGTCATGAACTCTTCTTTTTATCTTCTCACATCATCTGGAATATTTTTATAAAAAATTCGGTTGGATTATATAATTATATTCTCGAATATAGTGGGACACTTGTGCATGTGAGTGCCAACGTAATGATCATTAATGAGGCAGATGAAGATTTCATTGCTTATCTTGGGAATTGAGTTTATTTTTGTTGAATATAGTGGAAAACTATATTTTGATTAATCTCCTTTGTGTAAAATACACATATAGGGTTCTCTATTTATAATAGAAGAAATATGGGCTAAGCCCAAAATACAAATGAGAAATAATAACAAACTAACTAAAAGATAAAAGATATAATATATCTAACAATTTTATTCATATTTTAATATTGTTCAATAATTTATCTTCTGAAAGCGGGTGATTGATAGTATTTCATGTGCTAAGTAAACCTCAGCTTCTTTTGAATATCAGTTTGTTTAGAGGGAAGGGGCTGGGAGGGGAGAAAATGCGCTACCCCTTCTATACATCCATTTGCATTCAGTTCATTATAGAAGGTTATTGTAATGTTTTTATTTGACTGTTAGTGATTACCCTATTTGAAACAGTTTCTTCTCTAAGACAATTGTATCTTTTTTTTTCTTCAGTTTTTTAGGTAAAAGGTCTGAATGTTCCAAACAGAAATTTGTAATCCTAAATGCAATACATAGTGAAATTTAGCAAACTTTTATGTCATATAAAAAAATGGTGGTTGTATTGTACGTGTTAACATTAGTTTTTTTATGCTTAGATTCATTTGTATATAATGAAATACTCCATCAAAAGTAAAATTATACAATCTAGTGAGTGCTGATAATTGGATCATACGGACGGTCAAAGAGAAATAAAGAGCACATACAAGTCCTACTGTTTTAAACTTAATGAGACCTTACTTGTGTGTGCATCTCTCTGTAACTGTTTGTACAGTTTAACTGCAAGGGTTCGGATTCTTGAATCACTTCAATTTTTTTAGTTAGTTAGCATGGTCAAATTGTTTAACGCAAACTATGTTTCAATTTAGATTTTTAAGTTGTTTAGGAGGTTGTAGGTAAGTTTTTGTAAGAAAAATTAAGCTGTAAATGCAGTAAACGGAATTATAAGGTGCTAATTTTTCTGAAACATGGTTGTACATGCTAATCTCCTCTGATGCATCTCACATATGTGCCCTTGTTATTGGTTCATTATATATATAGTTTAATTATAAACATTTGTAATTTTGTGATTCAATTTTTGACTTAATAACTTAAAATATGATGTTTGGAATTTTGTAATTTGACTAGGCTTGATGTTGAAGACGATGGCTTAGCTGCCCTTGTTCGGCTTAGCAATGGTGATATGAGAAAGGCTTTAAATATTCTTCAGGTAAATAGCCTTCAATTTTTTTACATACAAATCTAGCTCAGCTAGTCCTTTTATTTTGATGTTTATTCTTGTTCAAGTTAAGGATTAATTGTATAGATTACATAGACTCAAAATTTTTAAATGAGTTTATACGGTTTCATTTCTTCCCTTCAACTGCTTTCAGTGTTGTACATATTGAGATGCATGTAGAAGTACACACTTATATTTTGTATAGCAAAAAAGAAGGGGGAGGTTAGGGCCGTAAATGGTGAAGTGTTGGCAAAGTATTAATTTTGGCATGTTAGCTTAGATAATGTCTATACGATCTGAAAATTAAAACTCTTGAAGTATGGATTCTTGCTCGAAAATTTCCAACTTTAATATCTAGCAATATACATTACAACAACAATAGCCTTATTGCATTAGGTGAGATCAGTACTATATTACACAACACCATTGGGCTAGGTCAAAAATAAAATGTTCAAGGGTATTTTTTCTATTGTATCCCTTTCGATAATTTTTCTCAGTGTTTGTTGGTTTTCCTCTGTTGAAAGTCCCACATCGACTAGAGATAAGGTCAATTTATAGTATATAAAGTGGGTGCAAACCTTACCTTACAAACGGTTTTGTGGGGTTGAGTTAGGTTTAAAATCCACTTCTTAACATGGTATCAAAGCTAGGTTAGAGCCTATCCTAGCATATTTGTTGTTTGTTAGACATGTTGTTCCACCCACTATCAGGCCACTATCGGACTATCCATTAATTACTAGTCTCACGCTCGAGATATATATACCTCGGCGTGAGGGGGGGGGGATGTTAGAAGTCCCACATCGACTAGAGATAAACCCAATTTATAGTATATAAAGTGGGTGCAAATCTCACCTTATAAGCTGGTTTTGTGGGGTTGAGTTAGACTTAAAGTCACTTTTTAACACCCTCTGTGCCTTTTCACAAGACTAGACACTAGAATCTACTCTTGTACTAGTGCTGATAAAAGAAACTATTGTTACTAGTTGTTGGAAGTTTCACATCGACTAGAGATAAAATCAATTTACAATATATAAGTGGGTGCAAACCTTATCTTACAAACCGGTTTTGCAAGATTGAGTTAGACATAAATGTCACTTTGTAACATGGTATCAACCATCTATCCTAA